AAAAAAAAAAAAAAAAAAAGAAATAATTTTCTTATAAATGGACCATATTTTAATTTATTAAAGGTCCTTCTCCTCTACTAGTTTTTATTATTTTTATTTCCTCGACTATTTTATTGTATTTTTATCCTCAGCGTTCCGATAATTTTCCCCTTCTATTTTCAAATAAGCAAATAATAAATATAAAAGTGTGATTAAATATTTGTATCTTATTTTAAAGTACGCTAATAGAATTATGGACGAAATCGTCATGGGACAATATGTGTTTTGTACCAAAGCTTAGTCGTGGGGTTGGATTATGGAGCTAGAAACACGTCATGTTAGTTGCCTATGAGAAAACAAAAAAATTACAGCTTGTACGATTTTATATTGGAGAGAGAAAATATAAATGTAATTTCATTAATTGATTATTGCAGGTTTCAATCTTATTTCTCCAGTTACACTCATAATTAGTTACACAATTTTTTTCCTAAATTAAAATCAGTAATTGTTACACCTCTACTTACGTTGAGTGCCACGTGTCTGTTAGTTGAGTAAATATCACATAAGTCCATCTGCTCCATCAATCTAGAGTATTCTTTTATACTCCAGTTGAGATGATGAGATCAACAACCTTCACTTTTAAGGTGTTAGGAGTATAGCCAAACGCCTTATTTTTATTTAGTTATTTTTTCGGAGACAACACAACTTCCAGTAGATTTGTCACATCGTCTCTCTGAGGTGGTGCGGGTGGCCTAACCCATAGCCACACCCCATGTGTTTAGTATGTCCGTGGTAATTGAGGCGTGACCTTTGATGCCTTAGACAAGTTGTATTCTATGACATCTCGAGCAAAGTGTTATATTATTGATGTGACATCTCCATAATTGCGCCTTCTTAGTTATTATGTGACATCATTGAGTTAGACATGTGAATTATTGGAATAAAACCATGTGTCAAGTATCCGAAAGGCCTCACTTACATCTCCTTGGCCTATAAAGAATCATAATTTTTGTCATTTGAAGGTGATTAAATCTTAATCTTTTCACTTGTGCAATCTAAACTTGACTGCATTTTCATTCTCTCGTGTTTCTCTCATACCCAACTTATTGTCCGATATTCAGTGCATACAATCGTTGCACCCTCTCTTGGAGCACGATGTGTGCCTAATGTGTTTGTCCAAGTGTTCATATAAGACGTGGACAAATTATAAGTTAGATACTTGAGTCCCGTTAGATTCAGAGGTCAATAGTAATCACAAATCAAATTTTCATATAATATAATTGGGAAAATTAGGCTTAAACCCATCACTCTTTATTTCTTTACGACCCGATTCATGTAAATTTTACTGAGTTTTGATATTTGTCAAAATGTTTTTTAAAATAGTGACATCTACCAAGTTTTTCGTAATACAATTTCAAACTTGACCCAAGTTTTGAATCCATTTGTTTAATGATGAACCATAGTTGGCCCATGAATCCATTTTTTGCACCCTAGCCCAAATGAAGGTGTCTAGGCTTCAATCAAGTTTCGTATAATTAGATAAGATAGGAGGACGTGCATGAGAGGGCTTTTGCACATCTTAAAAGCACCTATAGGAAGATGAAAGTAGTTTTGGTTAAAATGATGATTTAGTTAAGTGGAAATTACACAAAATCAGTATTTTCATGATTCAATTTCAAATTTAAGATATCATACTTTTTATTTCAAATCTCATATATTAATATATGGACCGAGCTTCAGTGCCCGGGCGGTGTGACACCCCCACCCCCCCCTCGACAGAATACACACATTTGGGGGCAAGGGGCTTTTCTTTCATTTTTTTATTTCAGCTGGGCCCCACGTCGGTCCCACCAGCTTGTGAGGGTTGGTCACCTAGGTGGGTGACCCTTTTCTGGCAGAGAAGCTTTTTCCTTAATATATCTATTTCATTTACCCAAACCATAATTATTTCATCTTCCCCATTTTCTCTCCTCTCTCTCTCTATCCCCGCTGCCACCACACAGTTGGCACCACCCTCAATCCATTCGTCGGCCAAAAGGAGCGCGAATCGACATGAGTTTGCGACGGTATTTGCGAAGCAGACCCACCCACTCACTCCGACGAGTCTTCATAAGCGGAGCACCGCGACATTGATCAGATCTGCAGTGCAGTGCCGTGGCGATGGTCGCTCAACCGTACGAGATCTGATGGCCCTGCATTTTTCTTTTGTTTTCTTTTTTACTTGATCTCCCTTTGTCGAAACATCACAATCTTTTGGAGTCTCGAAAAATGACGACGAGAATTGCTTAAACACAACCCCAACGTCAAAATAAATCAACCCTGAGCTCGTAATGTCGACCCGGATCCCTTTCACAGGAAGCCAGAGGAAAAGCTCCTGGGCAGCTACCCCAGATAAATTAACAATCTAGCCATAAGCCAATTTGGCCCGTAATATTGTACTCGTAACGAACCCTAGTCTCTAATTTCGCATCGCAAGGGGAAGGAGGCACCAAATGGAGCTCCAAACGGCTAGAATTAGGGTCGAATGAAATTTCAGAAATTCCCTTTGGGAACAGGCCCATTGGTAGACCATGGGATTCCAAAATGTTATAAATGGAAGATGAAGATGATGATTGAGAATCTGTAGAAAAGGATTTCTTTGTTAGGAAAAATAAGATTAATAATGTGGGAATTGATGGTATGTTGTTGTGGTGGCGGTGGCGTTGTGACGGGGGCGATGGCGTTGCTGGAGTGGTGTAGACCAACGGTGGTGATTTGGGTGGTGTTGTGGTGAAGGCTATGTGAGATAGTAATTATGACCAATTATTTGGTTGATTTATGACCAAGTGTTGGCGGAGGATCGGGATGGGGGCGGGGTGTTTGGTGTATGTGACCGACTATTTTGTTTATTGTGACTCATTATTAATCCGTGATCTTAAATTTTGATAATTTGTGACTAAGAAATTTGAAAATACGTGACCTATCGATAAACTGTGATCTATAATTTTTTGATTCGTGACTAATGGAGTAAATTATGACCTATAAAATTTTTGATTTGTGATTTCGAAATAATTTGTGACCTATAAAATTTTTGATTTGTGATCGTAAAATAATTTGTGACGTTTCAATTTTTTATTTATGATCGATGAACAAATTGTGACTTATAAAATTTTAGAATTGTGACCGTAAAATAATTTGTGATCGATTAACAAATTATGAGTTATAAAACTTCTGAATTGTGACCCTAAAAAAATTTGTGACGTTTCAATTTTTGATTTGTGACCGATGAACTAATTGTGACTTATAAAAGTTTTGAATTGTGACCGTAAAATAATTTATGATATATAAAATTTGTGATTAGACAAATTATATGGAATTTGTGACCAAATTATATGAAATTGTGACCTAATATATTTAACTAATAAGATATACGTTTAATTAATTAATATATAAATAAAATTTAAAAAAAATCTGAGATTTGAAATTTTGAACCTTGAAAAATCTGAAATTTGAAATTTTGATGTCTTAAATTTGAAATGGGTAAAATTAAACCTCTCAATTTTGAATTTTTCCATTTCAGTTTTGAATTTTTCCATTTAGTTAAAGTTCAAAAGCGTTTGTCGATTAACAGGACATCTTTTTAATGTTCTTTTAAAAGATTTAGTCCAAACTATCATTGGTAATAAAATTTTTTATACATTTTTAGACACAGAGATTAATGCTCGTTTAGGCTCTAGATTAATAAAATCGGTCCTCCTATAAAGGCTGTACGCCCAAGTTATATGAAAAATGAATTCTGTACTTAAATGAAACTTTTCAGACGACGAAAATATTCTTATGACATCAAAATTATCCTACACATTAACTTTTTATCTTAATTTTTGTCATATATCATGTTAAGTGTGAAATGTCTTATCATATGTTGATTGTTAAATTATACTTTAGAATGTGCGGGAAAGAAAGTGTAAATTAAATTAATTAAAATGTTAGAAAACCTAAGTTATTTTGTTTACTTCAGATTAGTTTTTTTTTTTT